GTTCATTCTCTCTTTTTTAGCGGATGAAAAGGATTAGATATTTGTTAGGATGGGTCCCATATTTTGCATCTTTAAAATTCTTTTTTTATATTATTTGCAATTGATTTGTTTTTTTATAAAGTGGAGTGATTACGAAGTGTTGTGCATCATGTGATTCCAAAATAAAAAATAATTTTTTTGACTGTGAAAAACAAATATTCCAAAACAATTTAATTAATTTTTTTTTTTTTTTCATTTTTTTTTTTTTTAAAAAAATAGTTTCTTTTTTTTAAAATTGTGATTGGAACGCCAAATCATCATTTTTTTCATATTATCAATATCATTCACTCTTAGAAAAACACTGGGGTTATACGTTCAACCAAGGCCATCTTAATCTCAGGGTTTCTAAATAAAGAGCTATTGTAAATATTTTATTATAATTTTTTTTTTTTTATTTTTTTTTTTTATTTTTTTATTTATTTTTTTATTTTTTTTTTTAATTTTTTTTTTTCTTTAAACTAAAATTTTTATTTTTATTTTTTATTTTTTTTTTGTGGATATAAATACTTTATTATTAACCAACATTAATATTACATCTATTAAAAAAAAAAAAAAAAAAAAAAAAAAAAAAGGAAAAAATATTATTTAATTTTTATTTTTTAATTTTTTTGTTTTTAATTTTTTTATCACTCGAGTCTTCATCTCACACTTTTTTTTAAACTCGGTTTTAATATATATTAAAAAGTAAGTTAAATTTAATTTAAAAAATAATAAAAAGAAGAAAGTGTGATAGTTAATAATAGTAATAAAAAAAAGAATAAAAAAGTAAAAAAAGAACCAATAAATAATCATAATTATAAAATGTCAAAAGAAATATTCAAAAAATTTAATAATAAAAAAAAATTAAAAAATAAAATTTATTACAAATAAATAATTCATTATTTTTTTATATTTTAAAATTATTTTTAAATATTTGGTTTTTTTATTAAATAAATGGATATAATTACTTTTGTTAAATGTTTAAATAAATATTTATAGATATCTTAAATATACTAATTTTTACTTTTTTTTTTTTATTAAACTTTTTTAAAACAATTTCTTTAAAATTATAATGATTTTTCATTATAATTATACATATACAAAAAAAAATAATAGAATTAAGTGAAGTTTCTAATAAACCTAAAGAAGAGGTTTCAATAGACACAATAAATAATAATAATAATAATAATAATAATATTCAAAATAACAATAGTATAAATAATATAAATAATATAAATAATATAAATAATATGTCACCCAGAGTTGAAAACGAAGAAACAACACCATTAAAAGGTGGTAATAAAAATAATAATAATAACAACAATGACGATACAGAAAACCCAATTTTAATACAGAGCGGTATACCAATTGAGGACTTACAAGACAAAGATCAAAATTATTTAGTTGAAGTACCCAATATTGATAAACCTGATTCAGTAATTATTTTTAATCATAATCGTATCATATCATATCATAATTATTAATTAAATTTTTTTATTTTTATTTCCAGAAATGGATTAATTTTAGAACATTATGGGCATTTACAGGACCAGGATTTTTAATGAGTATAGCATATTTAGATCCAGGAAATTTAGAATCAGATATTCAAGCAGGTGCAACAGCTGGATATCAATTATTATGGGTTTTATTATGGTCAACAGTTATTGGATTTTGGTTACAAATGTTGGCTTCTAGATTAGGCGTAGTAACAGGTAAACATTTAGCAGAACATTGCAGAGATCATTATCCAGTCGTACCAAGAATTGGTTTATGGTTGATGACAGAGTTGGCTATTATTGGTAGTGATATTCAAGAGGTTATTGGTACTGCCATTGCTTTACAAATTCTTTCAAATGGTCATATTCCATTATGGGCTGGTGTTTTATTCACTGCTGCCGATACATTTACATTTTTATTCCTCGAAAAATATGGTATTAGAAAGTTAGAAGCATTCTTTTGTAGTCTCATCACTATTATGGCCATCTCGTTTGGTGTTGAATATTGCATCAGTAAACCAGACCAAGTTGAGGTAATAAAGGGTATCTTTGTCCCATTGGTATCAAAGAATCATATATCACAAGCTGTCGGTATTTTAGGGGCTGTAGTTATGCCACATAACATCTATTTACATTCTGCATTGGTCCAATCAAGAAAGATCGATAGAAGCAGCGAAAATCAAGTTAAAATCGCAATCAAATATAACGCAATTGAATCTGCTTTGGCTTTAGCAATTTCATTTATTATTAATCTTTTCTTGGTTGCTGTTTTTGCAAAGGGTTACTTTGGCAATGGCTTTACAGATGACATTGGTTTATCATCAGCCGCAGACTTTTTAATGAAAGAGTATGGTAAAGTAGCTAAATATATTTGGGCCATTGGTTTATTTGCAGCAGGTCAATGTAGTACAATGACAGGTACCTATTCTGGTCAATTCGTAATGGAGGGTTTCGTTAAACTTAAACTTGCTCCATGGAAGAGATTAATGATCACTAGATTAACTGCCATCGCACCAGCTATGGTCGTCGCCATTTTATCTGAAAACCATTTAGATGCAGTCGATCAATGGTTAAATGTTTTACAAAGTATTCAATTACCATTTGCCGTTGTTCCAGTTTTATTATTCACTTCAAATGAAAAAATTATGGGTAAAGCTTTTAAAAATCATTGGCTCAATAATATTTTCGTCCGTTTCTTATCATTGGTTATCATTGGTATCAATATTTATTTGGTTGTAGTTTTTTCAATCGATATCTCAGAGGCTCCATGGATGATTTCAATAATTACCATCTCTTTCTTTTTCTATTTCGCTTTCATCTTTTATTTATCATTTGGTACAGAAACATATATTAAAATCTATCATAAAATCAAAAATATATTTGGTAAATCAAATAACTATAAAACTTTATCAGAAAATGATATTAATTAATTAATCAACAATCAATAATAATAATAATAATACTAATAATCAAATATCAAAAATAAGTAATTAAATAATTAAATTAATTTTTTAATTATCACCATAATGATTAAGAAAATACACTCATATTTATTCAATTTAATATATTTTATAATGATTTATTTTATTATAACAAATATTAAAAAAAAAAAAAAAAAAAAAAAAAAAAATAAAGCAAAAGAATACACATTAGATTTATTTAAATGTTGTATTTAGATATTTAATAATTTTAAATTGTTTATGTTTATTATAATTTTATTCTTCTAGATCAATTCTTTTTCTAAAAATGCGACAAAGGATGATTTTATAAAAAAAAAACTTTTTATTATAAATTGGTATTATTAATACTTACAACTCTGATTATTTAGAGGGTTTGCTTTTAATCAGATATTTGTGACTATCTTTGAATTGGTAGTGTTTAACGGAAATTTGAAAATTAAAAATATATTCAAAATAAAATTTTTTTTTTTTAATTGCTTTTAAAATTTAAAAAAGGATGCATACTTATGAATAAATCCTTTCTAGTGTATAATACTAAAAAAAAAAAAGATTTTAACTAAACAAAGAATTTAATTTTATAATAAATATCTATAAATTAAATTAGTATTTTACTATTTATCATTGTTATATATTTAGCAATTTGTTATTATATTATTATTTGATTTTCTATTTTAATAATTATTATTATCTTTTTTTTATTATTTGTTCAAAAATATCTAAAATTTAATTTTTTTTTAATTTTATGATAACCAAAAAAATTTTATTTTTTTTTATTTTTTTTTTTAATTTTTAAATTAAAAAATACCACCAATTACAACCCCAAATAATGATAAATTATTTATTCTTTTAATTTCAAAACAACAATAGAATACTGGTGATAATTTCCATACAAATAACTCACAAAAATAAATTATTATTTTTTATTTTATATTTTTTTTTTTTTTTAAAAAATTTAATTTAAAATCCGCTCTGATTTTTAATTAATTTATTTTATATTTCGAGAAAATAAATAACAAAAAATAAAAAAAATGGTAATGTAGAATTTCAAAATATATATATTAAATTAATTATTAATTTAATAAAAAAAAATAAAAAATAATATTGTAGGTGGAATTCGAAGTTTATGGTGAAACATTTCATGATTATGTAGCAGATTTTATTCCATTTTTTATAATATGTATGCTGGTGGAATTAATAATAAATGTTTTTTTTAAAAAGAAAAAAAATTATTTTGGATTGGGGGATTCTTTAACTTCGATGGGTGGGGGACTTTCGACAATAGTTTTAGAGAGGATAGTACCCTTTGCTATTATGTCAGCGATTGAATTTTATGGCGTGGTTTATATTTATAGAAATTATAGGATAGTAGATGTCAGCGAGTATTCAGTTTTAGCATGGATATTTTGTTTTATAACTGTAGATTTTGGTTATTATTGTAAATATATTTATATACTATAGTTTTATCAGTAATATATAATATATAATTAAAACTATTTTTTTTAGGGTTTCATAGATTAGCACACGAAGTTAATGCATTTTGGGCAACACATGTTACACATCACTCTTCAGAAAAATATAATTTAACAACAGCACTTAGACAAAATGTATTACAAATATATATTTCATGGATTTTCTTCTTACCAATTGGATTATTTACACCACCAGGCATGTATGTATTTCATAAGCAATTCAATACAATTAATCAGTTTTGGATCCACACACAATTGATAGATAAATTACCATGGCCAATAGAGTTCATTTTAAATACACCATCTCATCATCGTGTTCATCATGGTCGTAATCCAAAATATTTAGATAAGAATTATGGTGGTACTTTGATTATATGGGACCGTATATTTAAGACATTCGAGCCAGAGGAAGAAAAGGTTTATTATGGTTTGGTATACCCTTTAAATTCAAATGATCCAACATGGATTCAAATACATAAGTGGTATGAAATGTATCAGCATACAAAACTATATACTAACTGGATTGATAAAATCAAAGTTTTTCTTTGTGGGCCAGGTTGGCAAAAAGGTACAGGTCGTTTAGGGGATCTTTCAACACTCCCAATTCCAACGGACAAGGATGAGCAAGAAAGAATACCAAAATCTTTATCAACAGATTTAAATGTATATTTATTTATCCACTACATGTTCATCTCTTTCTTTGCATTAATAATTCGTGACAGTTTCGAAAATCAAGTTGGTGCTACAAATGTTACTCTATCTTTTGCTTTTCTCTATGTTAGCTTAACTTCATTTGGCGCTATGTTCGATGGGAAATGGTATGCGGCTCTATTGGAAACTATTAGGCTCTGGGTATTTATAATATACACTCTGGTATCTCAAGCTTCATCTCACCCAATTATACATATATTCAGACTATTTTATTTCACCTCATCCGTATATATTATTTTCAAGAAAATTTATACATCTAATATTTTTAAAAGCTATTTAAAATCATCACAAAAAATTTTAAACAATAAACTAGATTAGAAAATATAAACTATTATTTATTTAAAAATAAAATGTTTTATAAAAAGAAATTAATTAATTTTATTATTTTTTTTTTATAAATTTCTTGATGCCAATACTTTAGCATTATCTGGAACACCATTCCAACCCATTGGTGTATCAAGTAGTTCAACCTTTGATAATGGTTTATCAGCTTTAACATTGTAAACGCCTGTTATAAAACTATCACCGCTAAATGGGTTATTTAGATTGTCTTTATAAACATTTTTATTAGCATAACCCCATTTACGAGTACCTTGAGAAATTAATATATGTTTTTTTGAACCATCTGCGTATGTAACTCTTAGTGTATAGTCACAACCTTCTCCGTAACAATAGCTGTGGACTGGACGATCTGTAAATGGTATAATATCATATACATCAGTTTTATTTGTTGGATCAATGTATCTAATTAAATTTCCTTTTGATTTTATTATTGGATAAAATTGATTTAATTCATTTGGACCTACTACACTGTATGTATATACAATGGTATAAACATCTACATCTCTCTCAATTGGAGTACCCTCATCGACGTTACCAAATAAACCATCGCTTTTAGTTACAGGTTTGTATTCATAGTACTCTTCCGATGTAGTATTCCATTTGTTATACTTACCTGTATTTCCGTCATAGTTAATGGCGTTTTCAAAATACTTTTGAATTGTAGTCATTTCGAAATCTGAAAATATAGAAAATCTATATTTGCTTGATTGGTCACCAGCACCACTTTGCATAACAGATTGTTTAATACAATATTTACCATCATCAGACAACAAAGAATTCTGTTTGCAGTTTGGGTAAGCTTCTGCAGTTTTTGGAATATAAATCGATATGAATTCGTTATGATTTGTATCAAAAGCCCACTCACTTCCTTTTAAACTACCACGAACATAAGGGTATTTTTTATTATTATAGGCTTCCTCGGCATGTGGCATTCCAAAACAATGACCTTGTTCATGAATAAATATACCTCTATAAGTATAATCTCCGGTACCAACACTTCCTCCAACAGCTCCTAAACCTCCCCATGGATCAGCATATTTTCCATTTGCACCAAGATGAAGAAGTGGAGTATATATTTGAATTGATGATGAGCTTTCTCCAAATGCTTTTCTTATTCCTCCTAATAAATCAACAACTAAATTCATAATGGCATAGCCATCAGATTTCATATCAGAATTAGTAATTTTCATTGAACGGTATGTTTTACCTTCATATGAACGTGGGGGCATGATAAGGTAAGGCCAATCTATTTTACCTAATGGATGGTTTTTAGATTTTAAACCACTAACTGCCCATTTTTGAATTAATTCATCAATAATTGGTTGGTCAACTTGTTTAACATTTGAAAAAGGTTGGGTATTTGAATCATTAGCACCAAAAAAATAAGCAGGAAGAGTCCAAAGTAGCATTTCCCTCTCTTGGCCCATATTTGGTGTTACCATATCTGATTTTGCTTTTGATTTATTTTCAAATTGAATTTTCATATTTTTTTTTATCCAATTGCCTGGGATTAAAATATTATGATGCTCTGTTGAATATTTTGGTCCATTATCTTCAGTTGGTGGTAGTTGACTTGGTGGTTTCATTTCAAGAGATCCCAAAAGATTATTGCCATTGTAAACATTAATAATATAGGTATCATTTTGGTTATTGAACTTTGCTAAAATTAGAGAATCTCTATTTGGAACTATTTTTAATTCATAGTTAACATTATTAATTACCCATTTTTTACCACTTACTGGTATAACATGTGTTTGCGCAATTAAAACACTATCATTTCCATTTGATAAAATTGCATCATTTTGAGCCAAAGGGTTTGATTGAATTAATTTTATAAAAATTAATAGAATAAGAAAAATTAAAATCCTCATTTTTTAGATTAAAATTTTATATACTTTAATAAAAAAAAAAAAATTTACTTTATATATTTTTTTATAAAAATGAAAGTATGAAATATTTTCATTTATTTATAATAAAAATAAAAATATTATTTATCAAAGTATTTTTAATTATTTTATCTGTAGATAATTTCTTAAAGATACTTGCACTCGCTAATTTTTTTTAAAAAAGTATAAAATTATTTACCCCCAATACTTTTGACTTTTTTTAAATTTTTAAATAATACAAATATCAATAAAATAAAATTTATTTATAAATAAAAGAGTGTTTTATTGTTTAAATTATACAGAATTTTATTTAATTTTTTTTCTAATATACATATTTTTTATTGTTGTTTTTGAGGTGTTGGATTGATAATGATACATTCTTTAGAGAGTAATTTTTTTTTTTTTTCTAATAATTATAATAACCACTGAGATGACTTGGATTATTTTTATTTATTTCATTGTTCTGATAAAAATATAGATTTGGGTATAAAGTACTTGAACCATTCACTGCTAGTAAAGGGGGTGGTGAAACTGTATCTTGGGGATTTGTATGTTGGCAATATGAATACATTTGAGGTTTTATTTGTTGTTGCTTTTGGTCTGCTGAAAATAATAATTTATTGTTTATTGGTATATATTCATCGCTGTTAATAGAATGTATCACTTGATTCTTTTTATTTGTATGTTTTTTAATTAAAAATGAAACTAAAACATATATAATAACACACCCTATAATGCTACTGACTGATATAATAATATAGTTCCATGGAACACTGTCCATTTTTTAAAAATTGAATAAAAAAAAAAAAATTAATAAATAAAAAATAAAGGTTATAAATAATAAGTATTATAAAATAAAATAAAAAATAAAAAAAAAGTAAGGAAAAATATATTTAAAAAATTTATTGTGAAAACAAAAATAAAATAAAATATTTGTAAAAATACTGTGATACCATGGGAGAAAATAATAAAAAAAGTAAAAAAAAAAATGAGAAAAGTGGTGATTTTAAAAAAATAAAAAATTGTAAAATAATTTTAAAAAAAAAAATCATCTTGAATTACAATTATAGCACATTTGGAACCAAAATAAAATCATTTCTATTATTTTTGATTTCCTTTTATATTTTATATTATTATTATTATTATTTAGAAATAAATAGATATTTAATTTAAATGATTCTTTGAAAATTATTATATACCTTTGAATTTTGAAAATAAAAAATATGGGTTAAAAATGCGGAGTGGGTAAAAAATATCTACCACCACACAACTAAAAAATAAAAATAAATAAAAAAAATCGGACACAATTTAATATATTTTGCTTGTCTATTAAAAAATTGGGAATACGTAATAAAAAAACAAAACCAATTGATTTAACTAAATTGGCGATTCTTTTGGTGGAGTAGGAAGTAGGAGCACCTGGTGAGTTATGAGAGAAACCTCCTGCACCAACACCAATTAATAATGATAATATAAAAAAAAATTATATTAATATTATTAAATTATTTATTTATTAATTTTATATTTACCTATTATAATATATTCCTTTCAAGAAGAAATAATTTTTAATTTTTCTAAGTGCAATAGATAGTTATATTGGGAACTACCTATTTTTTAATAACAAAAGCCTCTATTAATTTTTTAAAATTTGACTCTTGCCTCTGCTTTGTGATGAATCTTTTGATTTGAATATTTATGTTTCTGTTCAAATTCTCTTTTAATAACTTTAGACACTTTGGTCTTTATTTTTGTTACTACTATTGTTTTCTTGGAGAGTCTATTGGTTCTTCGTCTGTTGTGCTTTAGCACAAACAAACAAATCTAAATATGAACATATTAATAATCTAGAAAACAATGATATCAAATCACACTTTCAATGAACCGTTTCAAATACCAATAAACAAAATTAAATCATTTTATATTAAAAGAAAAAAAAAATGTTTTACTTTTAAAAGTAAGAAACGAAGACCTAGAGCACCTTTAGAATTTTGTAAGTAAATTTAATTATTATTTTTTATATAAAAACTAATTTTGAATATACCCATTTTGTGGCTCATGAAAAATGATTTTTTTTTTTTTTATTTTTTTTATTTTTTTTATTTTATTTTTATTTTTTTTTTTTTTCAATTTTTTTTCGTGTATAATCAATGAATTCTTTTATTTTTATTATTAAAATAGGAGGATAATACCCTTTACAAATACACATGTGCTATTTAAACAAATATTATAATAATAGCTATTTTTTTAATTAAAAAAAAAAAAAAAAGAATAAATATAGTAATAATTTTTTTATTCCTTTTATATATTTGTTAATAATTTTCTTTATTTTTTTGTTTTTTTTTTTATGGTTTTATTTTTTGTATAACACTCTTTTATAAAATAGTTATTAATTTATAAGTATTTATTTATTACAGTTATATATATTTGTTTTTATAACAAATATATGTTTTTTAAAATTAAAAAATAAAAATTAAAAAAAAAAAATGAAAAAAAATAATTATATTGTAAAATTGTTATCATTAATAATTTTATTATTATTTAATGTCGGTATAACGGTATCCAGTGATATAGGAATAGACTCATCACACACACAAGATAATTTTAATTCTACATTGGTTTTAGAAGATTTACCAACTATTATTATCAATGCAGAAAATGTATATAAAACACCAAATTTCATAATAAATAAAGAAACAAAAACAAATACAACAGTAAGACAACTACAAACAAAATCACAAAATCAATATCCACTAGATTCAACTTCAGATTATTGCGGGACTTATGATTGGACTCTTTTAATATCAAATACGTTATACAAAATATCAGATGTCGAACAAACTGCAATACGATATAGAGATACTTTTACAAAAATAAATGTAAATACAACTATAAGGAGAGATATTCAAGAAAAAAATGTATCATACTACAGTGTAAATTTAGAAAATGATATAGTGGGTTATGGAAGCTATGATTTAATTTTACAAATCGAAATAGAATCTGGTGAACTGATTAGAGTAATTTTAGAATTTAGGTGTGATGGTAAATATTATTATTATTATTATTATTTGAATTATTAATTTGAATATTAATTATTTTTTTATACACAGCCATAGATCCAAATGGTTTAAAATATACGGTAATTGGCCTTTCAAATTATCCTTCAGATTACTGGGCTCCTTTTTATAGGGATCCAGATTCATTAAAAGTAATGATGAGGATTGATGGCTTTAATAATACCCTATCAAAACTTTTTGGTTTTGTTGTGAAGGGCAACTATGTGGTATCTCTCAAACCCTATTATCAAAATTATTTTGTAGCTAGTTTATCAGGTATATCAAGTCCATTTTATGAAGATTGGTTATTTGATATTTATTTTGCCAACGAAACAAGATATCAAATTAGGATTCCAACTCCATATCCTTGTAAGTTAAATAATCATTATATAATAATATAAATAGTTTCTAATTTAAAACACCTATATTAGATTTAAATAATACAGTTCAAGATTTAAAATTAAAATTTTATCCCGAGTTAAATTTAACAACACCATTTAAATTCCCAGCAGTTTATACAACTCCTTTTGTACAGTTTGAATTTAGAGCCAAACCTACTACTATTCACAAAATATTTGGAGTGTATTATCCATCTGATTATATGGTTTTATCAAGAAGATTATTACCAGTCTCACATAAAAATGGTATAACAACATACTTAACCCCTTTATATGACCCAGCTTCAAATTCATTTCCGTATCTTTCAAATGATGAACGATGGCCATATAGTGCTAGTTTTTCTTTTAATTTTCAATTAAATTATACCTTTATGCAAAATATTAAAGAAAGATATTATAAATACGATTTCTATGGTAAGCTTCTATTATTTTATATAAATATAATAGTTCAATTTTATTAATAATTATTTCTTTTAGTTTATTATTTTAATTCAACTTATGGTTTTTGGAGTGATTTAAATAGCTCAAACTCTTTAATTCAATTAAATGTTAAATTAACTGATTTTTCATCATTTCCAAGTCTATTTAGAATATATTCAGTTTCAACAACACCAAGTCTAATTGATGCTCCTTTTGGATTAATCTCAGGAAACTCGAAAAACTGCACATACTCTGTATCAGTATACCAAAATCCACATAGAAATATTTATGGTTACATTGGGTTTATGGACCAAAAATTTGGTTACAATTATCCAAAAACAAATAGTATGTAAAAAATAACTTATATATATATATTACAGGAATTGGTTATTATAGAGCATTAATATTTATTATTATTAGCAACCGACAGAGAGGCCCCAGTATTACATGGTGTAGAGTTTATAAATTTATACGATAGAACATTTTTATTAAGAATTAGGGCATCAGACGATGTTTCAGGTATTAAATCAATTTTTTTGACATATTCTCAAGTATCAACAGATCATTTCGATTTAGTTAGTGGAACAATTATGAACGGAACTTATGAATATTTATTTAGACCAAGCTATCCAATGAGTCTATCAACCTCATTGTTTTATATGCTAATTAGAGATAATACAGAGAAGTTTTTAAATATCCAAAGATTATCTATTTTGACAATAGATCCTTTCCTTCAACTTGATTTTGTTACAACTAAAGTCACTGGTAAGTTTATTAGCCACCCTTTTTTTCTTTTTAAAAGCAGTAGTATTAATATTTTTACTTTATTATTTTTTATAGATTTTTATATTAATGATATCAAATATATTGGTTTTAGGTTTAATAACATTGACACAACTAATCAAGCGTACTATAATACAATGTATTTACAACTAAAAGATCCAGATAAAAGTAAACATGATAGTATACCAGTAATTTTCAAATTCTATTTTCCATATGAAAGATTGGATATTTTTTTTCTAGATTGGAAAAGTAATGGTAGATACTGGAGTGGAAATGTTTTAATCCCAGCAAATTTAATGCCAGGTTCGATTTCATATTATATTCCAAATTACGATGCAAGCACCATTATTTTTAATACCCAATTATCATCAGAATCACAACTAAATGTCACATCTCTCGAAGCTGATCTTTTTGGCCCAATTTTCGAATCTCTTTTTCAAATACCTCCCAAGTTTATCTATAATGAAAGGGTTATTCAATTCGGGTGGAACATCACAATTAAAGATACTCCTAATGGGTTGTCGCATGGCTTTATAGTAGTTAGAGGCAATCTGGATCATTCATATTACAATTTTACAATTAGTCCGGAGGGGTCTTACAAAGGTGACGATGAAAATGATGAGGCCTATATAGTCGTAAAGAAAATCTCCGGCGACAGGTTTGTTGGGGATTACTTAATAACAATGGATATTTCATATGGTTTAATGGGATGTGCCTCTCAAGAATATGAAATTATGAACGTTTATTTAGAAGATACTCAAGGTTTATTCACAAGACACAAACAAATCTCTGACTTTTCTGACCCTTCCAATGACCTTGAAGATTTTCCAACACCAATTTTAAATTTTATTGGAAACTATAGTTTACTAAAGATATCACTGGATTGCGATATACCTTTAGATTTTAACATAGAGGAACTGGTAAACTATTCCGATCATCCTAATCCATCTGATTGTAATTGGTGGGAATATTGGTGTAAATCAACATCTCATTCCTCAACAAAAATCTCTATTGAAGCACCAGAACCAACCGAGGCACCAGAAGTTACCGAAACACCCGAACCAGCCACTGGATCACTATCACCATCACCATCATCATCATCATCATCATCATCATCATCATCATCATCATCATCATCAACACCAACACCAACACCAACAACACCAACATCAGAACCATATCTTGGATCACCAAAATTAATAAACTTTAATATTTCAAATACAACCATAGACGTTGGTACACTATATAGATGGGTAAATGTTTCAATTGAAGTTTATGATTTATCTGGAATTAAAAAAAATCAAAACCCAATATTATATTTAATTAATGATGATTTTGGTAATATCAAAATCAAAGGAAAACTATTATCATCGACCAATCAAACCAATTTCTTCTATTCATTTTTTACAGAGTTACCAGTGGGTTTTGGATTTCCCAATCCAATTTTGGTTTCAATTTATGGTATTATAAACAATGTAAGTTATATATTATTATAAAAAAAAAAAAAAATATTAATAATTTTTATTCATATTCCTAGGCTGGACGTTGGAGTGGTTATTCATCACAAGACCTTCAAAATTTAGGCTATTCATCAATAATAAATATTATACAATCTTTACCTGCGGAAAATTCTCAAATTATTATAAGGGATACCCAATATACAAATGGTAAACTTTATCTATTTGGTCGTGGCTTAAAGAAATTAAATTTTGTTACAATTACCAAAATTACTGATAATAGTTCAAGTAATAATTTGCCACCAACACCTGCAAGCATAAATCAATATGAAGAGAGTGATACCAAAGACCTATCAACTACAAATAGAAAAACATTATCGACATCCAACAGTATTTTAGAGTCAAAAAACTATTATCCAAACTCACAAAACTCATATGACACAGTAGTAGAAATAATAGGTTTTCAGCCTACTTTGGGTGATCAATACTCAGTATCTGTAGATGGTCTTAGTGGTTTAGCTTCAAACAATATCGTTTTTACACCTACTGATATTGTTGATTTTCTTCTTGCTCCAGACTTGCCAGTAAATCCACCACAAGAATGCCCTAGTACTTGTGGTGCACCGGAAAGGGGCTTCTGCTCCATTTTTGGCTGTATATGCTATGATCTTTATGTTGGTTTAGATTGTGAAGCTAAAGTTATTACCAATATTACCCAACCCCCACCAACAGAATTAAAACCAAGCTTTTCATTCCCAAATACCAGTTCATTAATTCAAAGTATTTTGACTCAGATTTCAATTTTAGAACTTAGAGAGAGTAACATTCAAGGAGAAACCATTAAAGTTCATTCATTAAATCAAACAAAATGGGTATTTGAACAAATTAACTCTTCAACATTCCTTTACTCAATTAATGTTACAACTAACAAAAATGTTGAAACCAATATAAATGCAACATTACAATGGTACGATAATTCCGAAGAAATTGAATTTGCTGAACAAAAAGTTTCAATAGACCCATCATCTATTAAATATACAATTAAAATTACAAACTATTCTTTTGCAAATCCCTTATCAACATTAGAGGTAATTATGATGGCATCAATCGAATCGTTAAGCAACTCGACAAAGAAATGCTCAATGCTATCCAAAGGTAATACTACAACAGAGAATTTAAACTTTTTAAAACTTCAGGTTGATGATAAAAGTCTCTATGGATCATTTGTGCAAAGAGGAGTTAAAGATTATGATGAAACAGTCCCAGTATTAAATAGATTTTCAAACGATGCTATATCTGGTTCATCACTCCCAGAATTAAACTGTAGCCCAACCAAAACCCACTCATACATTTCAATTATGCTCCCACAATTTCGAGAAACCATTACCATCGATCCCACCTTCAGTGTTTTGGTTGATTATAATGACCCTAGCTCTTCTGATCAATCAGTTTGTTCTTTCCTCAAACAAAAAGAAATAGAAAAAACTCTTAGATTTATTATTGGCATAATTGTTGGCTTCTTTTTCTTGCTTTTAATACTTTTAATTTTAATTAAATCTATTATGAATAATACTAGGTTTATTAAAGTTAAAATTTTCTTATTACATATAAAATATTTATTTATATATTATACATATTATAAATCTTATGAATTAGAAGAGTTTTAATTCATAATAAACAATAATAAAATAATAATAAAATTATTTTAGTTTTTTTTTTAAATTAAAAAAAAAGCTAATTTCAAATTAAAATTATAAAAACAAAACTTTATTATTTATTAATTTTTAAAATGGATTAGTTATTTTTTAAATATCCATTTATATAATTTACAACAGTATTTGAATCATCTAAACTATAAGTCATTTTGGTTGAACAATTTGAATAATAATTTTCTTTTCTGATTTTAATTTCCTCTAATCTTTTATGAACTCCAGAGTTTACATTATATAAAGATTTCTTTGTATAGTTTTCTTGATAGATTTTAACATATCCTTTCTTTAATTCTAAAATTTCAGATTTAAGTATATCAGATCTATAAGGTTCTTTAATATACTCAGCACATTCTTTTAAAATAGAGTTTGCTAAATCCATACCATATTTATTTGAAAGATTACAATTATTAATAGAATCTTTTATATCATTTGGTATTGGTTCATTAGGACTAAAAAAACCAATATTACTCGATCTTTCACTAACTAATACAACCTTATTATCTTGATTAACTAAAAACCCACAAAAAGGTCCTATTCCAAACAAAAAACTTGACATCCACTCTTTCATGGTATCGGGTATCTGTATTACTATCCCACACTTAATTCTAAGAAAACAATTATTACTATTTTCGATTGAAAAAATTTGTTTATCCAACATTTCAATACTTTCAAAAGAACAATTTATAATCGACTTTCCTATAAAACTAGAACAATCTTTATCGGAACAAACTAAATAGTTATTATTTTCTTGAATATTTTTTATTGTATCAACATTATAATTTAGTTTTAAAATTATATTTTCTGAAGTTTGAATTTGGTCTATAATACTTTTTTTTAATTTTTCAAAATCTAATATAAATTCGCTGTATTCAAAACATAATGATACCTTTGCATTAACTAATTGTTCATTTTCATTTATAAAAGGAATTTCTTCAGCAATATAATGCATATATTGGCTCTTTGGGATTATTTTTATAAAACCATTAACTTCTCCCAATACTTTATTTGATGGATCACTACAAACCAATTCCTTATAATACTGTACCAATGAATTGGTATTGTTCACTGCCTCCTCAATAGTAACAGCAGAATTTGACATTAAAAAAAATCTTGACTTTTTTAAATGATAACCATCTTTACCACCCAATAAAAATAAAGAAAATTCTTTAACAAATTGAATACCTTTATAAAGACAAAGCTTAGCGGTTTCTAAATCTTTTAAGAAATGCAAACCGGTGTGAATCTTATAACACCCACTATAGGAAGATCCACTTTTAGGTAATATTTCCCCCTCTTTTTCTAAAAGTAAAACTTTTTTATTATTTGAAATCTTTAAAGCACACAAACTTCCTGCTATACCCCCTCCGATTATAATCGAATCAAAAATTTTATTATCATTACTACCCATTTTAACATTAAACTAAAAATACAAAAAGTTGATTTAAATATTTATAAATTTCTCACAAAACTATATTATTAAAAATAAAAACTTTTTTTACAAAACTAGAGGTTATGAAACAGTAAAATATAATTTTATATAAATTTTAAAATAAAAAGTTACCTTAAATATAAATTTTAACACAAATATAAATTTTTTTCTACATATAAAATTCAATGTTTAATACTTTTAAGCCCTCAATTATTTTTCTTTTAATTTAAAAAGAAATTTCATTAATAATTTCTACATTTACTTATTATATATGATGTATTAAACTATCTTTTTTATAACCTTTATTGAAATTAATATAGGATGACTATTTTTTTTATCTAAAGATAAGGTATTTTTTTTTAGAAATATATAATTTACCTATTTTAGAATAGTTCAATCTGCTATTTTTTGTACAAAATCTTTGAAGTTTATGGTGAAATAGTTTAGTTAATAAGTTTATATAGTATTATTATTTTTTTAACTTTATTAACCAAAAAATAAAGATGTCAAAGATTAAAAATGGGTTATCCATATTATTTAACATAAAAATAAATAAATAAAAAAATGGAATTATTATTTCTTAACATATAAAGAAAAAAAATAATTAATTGTTTTTATTTATTATCTTTAGATAAAGTGTAAAAAAAAAATATTTTTACTTTTTTTTTATTTATTTTAAGAGGACTATTTTTTATAGAACTTGGTGAAACTCTTTATCTAAACCTTTGTATAACCCATGTGCCCCAAACAATATTGTTTTCAATATCCATGGAAATATTGATTATCTTGATTTCTTTAATTTTTTTAATTTCTTTTATTTCTTTTATTTCTTTTTTTTTTTTTTTTTTTATGTTTTATTTTGAAACGATTTTAAATTCAATATTATTTAAACTTTGTTTAAAATAACTATATAGATAGGAAATGTTTAAAACAACTATCATTTTATTGTATTGTTTTTAATTTTATTATTTAGGAAAGATAAATATATATAAAAATAATGCCCATAAAATTTAAAATAAATTTTTTTTTTTTTGGGGGAATGTTTAAAATCAATCACTTTTATCTAATCTTTATACAAACCTCTTTTTGGTAAACTGTAGATCTATACAATTATTTTTATTTTCAATTCAAAAAAAACCCACAAAAAAATAAATAAAAAAATAAATAAATAAAAAAACTAAAAAAATAAAAAATATAAAAAACTAAAAAAAATAAAAAAATATATTTTTATAAATAAAAAAGTTTGAAAGATTTTTTTTTTTTTTTATTGTTTATCTTTTAAAATTTATAAATTTAAAAAAAAAAAAAATCTCTTATTATTTCTCCCTCTTATATCTCTCTGTATCTTTTCTTCTTTTTAACTAATTATATATTTTAGTTTTTTTTTTTATTTTTATAATTTTTTATTTTCAATTTTTTTAATAATTTTTTTTTAAAGCTCCATTAATCTTATTTTATTCATACTTTATAAAATAAATTAATAATTGATAATATATCATAAAAAATAAACTATATATTATTTAAAAAATTTAATTAATTGAAACAAAAAAGGAAACTATAAAAAAAATTGTAATTTGTAATTAATTGTAATGTAAGAATGCTATTGTAGACCCCCTATTAAAGCCACCCTACTATACTATTACCACAACAAAAATCTATAATATCTTATCAATAATCATAACAGTGTAGCCACCAACATTAATTAATTTATTTGTGACTATAGATAATAGCTGAAATTTAATATTTAATGAGGATATATGGATATTTTCTTTGCTTTAATATAGTTGTGTGTGACATTAATGTATAAATTTTTCATTTATTATAAAATCAATGTTTTATAAACTATTAAAAAAAAAATATTTATATAACAAAAAAAAAAAAAGAGTATTAATAATAAATCTTAAATACAAATTTTATAATATAAATATTTTTAATAACATTTATTTAATAATACCATTCGAATTATTTCACTCAACTTTTAAAATATACAACCATTATTATTAATTGTCAGTAAATTATTTAGCATAAAAAAAAAACTTTCTCATAAATTGTTTTTATTGGTTTAACCAATGGTTTATAACTCTTTTCTCATTTTTAAATCTATCACTCACTCACTCTTTCATTCATAATCTCACTTTTATAAAATAATTAAAACATATAGGAAGAAATACAATTCCCCCAATTAAAACCTTCTTTTTAAACTATTATTATTTTTTACTACTATTACTATTCTTTTATCTAAACAAGAAAAAAAAAAAAAAAAAAAAATATTTAAAGACCCCAAAAAAAAATCATATATTTTTAAAAATAAACAAAATAACACAACAATAACTATAAAATAACAACAACAATAAGAAAAAGAAGATACTAGAACAAAAAAAGATAGCATTTAAATATTAGAATAGAATAACTATATTTATAAAAAATATAAATATTAAATTTATTTAAAAGTATAAAATAAATTAATTTACTTTTTTTATAAAAGATTTAGTATTTTAGTAGTAAAAAAAATTTTTGAAATTAAATCTAA